CCTTCTGAGCCCAATCGGCTGTAGGCCACGGTGGGGACGCCCAAATAGAATGAGTCCGATGCGTTGAAGCAGCTCAGTCGATTTTCTAAGGTCGGCACCTCGGGAAACGAACACCCCGCGAGGCGCGAGGCGCGCGGCCTCGCGCGGAGGCCTGGAGGCCATTAAGGGGTGTCCATTAACCACCCCTTGAAGGCCCTGGTATATGAACTGTAGGGAACTTGACTGGTTTTGCTCATGCAAGTGACAACTGAACTAGTTGAAGCTCAAACCTGATGACGGATCCAATCCATCTCCAGTCCTAATTTGGTAGCTGAAAAGGACAGTCAGTGGTTTGTCTTCAGTCTTAAAAAGCAAATCCTTCCCCATCTGTTCATGGCAGGTTAGGGCATCTGAATTCCCAAAAACACGGCTCAAGGTCAAGCTCTCGCGCAGAAATGCGATGAAACGTCGCCTGTAGACAGTGACACCTTTCCTAGCAGCAAACGCAAACGTGCAACTTGGGAAAGCAAAACATGCGCAACAACCACAACGAGCAAACAACCACAACCACCGAAGCCACCGACGACCAAGCATTTGGACAGCAAGTGTGCGATGCGATTTAGGCGCATTCACGTAACTTGACACCGGGACTTTCATGATCCAATCACACTTGCCGCTGCCACCCACTTCCTCCATCAACGAGACCGCGTGCTTCCTCAAATCGCCGCGATGCATCAAGCAAATGTCTGAAGCCATGGTTGAACGAACAGCTACAGTGTTCTTTCCCCAACAAGTTTGATCTCTGACTTCAAACTTCGCGCTGAAACTCATTCAGCTTGTTTTCGAGGTCCAATCACTTTGGAGGTCATTCGTGGCACCACCTGCCAAAAGGTGCGAAAAACCCAAGACTTCATGGGACTGGCAATGACTGGCATATTTACCTATATATGCCTAAAATGAGGGTGCTGTCTTGCAAGGGGTCAATGTAAGCCCCAAACATGACATGTCCTGGAACTGTCTCTTTCGACGGATAGTACTGATCTGAGATCGTTCTCTTCACCGGTCCGGTCATCACCTGTCCGGCTGTGATGGCACTTTGCTAAACGGCTGTGATGGACTGGTTGATGTCAAAATAGAGCATGGATGAGCCTATCTATGGGATCCCAGTTAAGTCTGAGGATGGCAGATCCGTTTAAGTCTGAGGTCTTCACAAAGCCAATCCTTCCAAAAACACTCTCACTTCCGGTGGGATGGGGGTGCCGATTAGTTCAAACGTATGACTGAGAGTCTCCAGAAGTGCAAAACAAGTCTCCAGAAGTGCAAGGCCCTCAAACCCCAGCTGGTCGCTGCGTCTTCCGGCAGCGCCAGTCTCTGCAAGCCCTTCAGCTCATCCAGCAAGCCCGTTGGTGGTGGGCTCGGATGCACGAAGAAGGTACTGTTCGTGAGCCATGTCTGGCCTCAAAAGGAGCGGCTCCAAACGCGTGAAATGAGGCACGAGCGTTTACCACGTGGGGTTCGTTTGTTTGTTGAAATGGGACCGACTCGGAATGACTCGGATCCAGTCCGAATCGTTTAGAGACAGATCAGGGTGGTGCCTGGCATGGATCCAAACCCTAACAAATCCCAAGGGCCTGGCCTTTCATTGGCCCCCGAAAAGCCATCGCCTCCATAAAGACGTCTTGGTGACACACACAAACAAAGCAAGCTTGCTTTATCCGTGGTTGTGTTGTTTCCCTCAGACTGGGCACCAGGGGGTTGCTGCTTTATCCGTGCGCTGTAAGAATTGGCTAGGCACCAACCAGGCAGCGGGGTCGATCTGTGAAAATACAAAATAGCTTCTTGCTACTAGTAACAAGGGCATCCCTACTAGTAACAAGGGCATCGCTACTAGCAGCTTCTTGCTACTAGTAGTAATGCTCTTGATTCTAGTAGCGATGCCCTTCTTGCTAGTAGCTTCTTTGCACCTCAGAAAATCCGTAGAAAACGGTATAGGGTATACCTGTTTGTTCGGGTGTTGGCTACAAAACGAAGCCGGGTGAACTGTACACTCATGAAGACAAATGACCCCCTATCCGAATACTGGCAGCTGGTGAGGCAGGTCTCTGTAGGTGTGACCAGGTCAGTGATGAGACCTGCCAAGAGAGGTTTTTTTGATTTTTTTCCGTGGCCTGAAACGGATCCGTAGCCTGGGGTCCTATGCCTAGGGCTCCAAGTACAAAGTATTTAAAGTATTTGGACCCTCCAAACCCACCCCAAACACCTTCTCAGAAGGTACGACTGGAGCCCCAGGGATGAGATAGTCTAACTAGGGCTCTTCAACTTCTGTTGGTGGGAAGTGTCACCAGTGTGAAATCTGATGCTTCGCCTTTCTTCCCGAACCCGACGCGAACCGGTGCAAATCGGTGCAAAGCTTGAGAGTCAAGGCTCGAATAGCTTGAGCCATTCGACCAAAGTCCGACACCTTCGCCTTGTCTCGATGCAAACCACTGGCAGGTTTATATCATGTAAGTGCGGAAAGGAGTTGGAATGAATCATTAACTTTGATGTTTTTGTTGCAGAACAGGACATCTGCGATTGATTGCCAGACTTCAATGACTTCAATCTGACAGGCCAGTTCCGGAACTGCGCTCACCACGGAGTCCCCCAGCTCTCATGGTAGATGGTGGTCTTCTCGTATAGGATTCAACCCAAACCACGCGCTGCACGTTCGACCATGGCGGTCTTAAGGGCTGGACTCGTCTGACTATCTGATCACACTGGACTCGTCCTAATTGTGATTGGACTCGTCCTAATCTTATGATGGTTAGACAATTTGAGAGGGATAGGGACCTATAGACCACCGAAAGTTAAACTAACTGTTACATGTTGAACTTGATGTTGTTGGCAATTACACTAAAATGTCAAAACCAACAGCTCGTGTCAAGACCCACCTGTTGCAAAGGTAGCATTTGCACTATAAGTTTGTTGGTCCCTCAACGTTTGGATGTCAGTCTAAGCCCCCAGTCAATTGCCAAAACAGCTTGTAAACAAGTCTGCATGCAAATAAAAACAAACTAAACTCATCTTCGACCCTAGACGTGGAACTGTAAGTGCTACGCTTCCTCCATGCTCGGCCATCATGGGTGTGAGTCAACCCCAAATCCTGGTTGACCCCTGACAAAAAATACAAAAATGGGAAGCTGCCACACATGTCAACGAATCCTATTACTAAGGGTCCAGGACCATCCTGAGGATGTCCTTTGACCCCAAAGACCATTCTCAGGAAGCACTTTCACCTCCAAAACCATCCTCAGGATAGTCCTGGACCCTTAGGGTATAGGCCGACAGGGTGCTTTCATCAGCGTTATGACCCACGCCTCATCTTGCACCAGTGCTGGGATGAAAATGCACAAAGCGGCCGCAAGCGCCATCGCATCCGCGTGGTCAACGGCTCCATCGTGTGTTCGGGCTTTCAAGCGTGGGTCTGGGGTTTCGCGTGCTGTCAGTTCGCGGTTGTGCCCCAAAGAATTGCAAGAGGTTTCGGTGAATGATATGATGAAATACAAATTGGATGGATTATATATATAGTTACATGTTGTTTATATTTACATCTGATAATAATCAATTATCTTAATTATAAGATATAACTAGAAATCATGAGAAGTCATACAGGTGTACTTGAGGACGTGGTTCTTCCCTGAGTTAAACATGATTGGCACTGGAGTCTGTCTATCCTGCCTGGGTATCGCAGCTTGTGGAGCATAAGTGATCCAAGAAAATGACGACATGAGAGAATGGAGTGCGAAAACAACATGGAGTTAATAGTAGAATGTGTTTTTGCAACACCCTTTCTGTGCACTACCCTTCGGTTTGCCGGTCGCCTCTGCATGGGGGGCTCCAACCCCTAAAACCGCCCGAAACAACCGGTGCATGTGTGAAATCCCGGCCGGGCCTGGGTAGCCACGTACCACAGCTTTCGATCAGACATTCATGGGGCTGGCATGTTCTATTTATTACTTGGGGTCATCAATGAGGCTGGCATGTACTTATTCCAGTCCGCATCGTCTGCCAAACTCTGCCCATACCTGATTGTCTTCTGTGCCGAGTTCCTTCGGACGTCTAAACTGGGTTGACCTCACCCCTTTGAAGCTGCGCTCCTAAGGCAGCACCCGATGATTTGGACCCCGCTCCTTTTGGGCGGTTTGGGTGGAAAGCTGGGGGAGCTCGAAGTGGGTGTCTGGGTGAGAATTTCATGTTACCGGGCATCGCACTGGCTGCTTGTTCCCGATAGATCCACATACATACCTTGTCAGAAGGTTTGACCGGGCCCTCCTGGCACCTGCAGAAATAGTCTCCAATCACCTTGTCAGGTTCGGTATGTGGATCCATAGGGGTTTTGAAGATGCATCAAGCTCCCCACAAAACATCTGTTGAGTCAGCAAAGTAATAAACTCCACATAAATCAAAAGGAACCTGACCCAAAGTGCTGGGGAGGCGGAGTTGAGGCTTCTTTGAGGTTTCTCCATGCCATTCGAACATGAAGAGTTGCTCCAGGCCAGCCTGGAGTTTGCCCCAAATGCAGTTGGCACTCACATGGAATTCGCAACACCTGACCTTGACCCACCATCAACTCCCTACATGTTCATCGTGCCGCTCATGTGGGTCCAAGCAGCAAACATTGAAAGCCACTGCGACATGCACTGACATACACCAAACGTCGGTCAAGTGTTTCGGGGAGCCCCCACCAAGAAGTCATTCCAATGTTGGTCAAGTCATGTCAAGTCAAAACTCATGCGACAACAACAAACAACAAACAAACCCGGTTCTTCCGCCCCCAATAAAAAAACACACAAAACAAACTCTTGCCCAATCCTTAGTAGGGAATGAAAAATTCTTTTACCACCCTTAGCCTTGTAAGGATCCAGCCACCTTAGGATTTTCTTTACAAGTCGCCGCGCCGAGAAAACCTTTGCTCGAACCTTGTCTCGTCTCGACTTGGGCTCTCAGGTCTGTCGTCCATCAGCTCTCTCGGTGTCCCGAACTCTGCTTGGAGCTCCGAGTGGCTCTGCAAAAGCTCTTCCTGTCGGTCGGAGCTCTGGTTGGGTAAAGCGAGAGGCTCCCAACACCCGATTGATTTGGTCCACCTGATGGTTGATTTATGTCCGCCTGAATCCCGTTGACGTGTTCAGCGTTGACGTGTTTGTTTCATGTGTTTGTTCAATGCATGTTAGATTGCGAAACCGGAGTCAACCTTTCTTGTAACGGTCTTGGAAGGCTAGGGATCTGAATGCTACCCCTCTGCTTCAAGTAGATGTTGCACATCTGGCCCTCCCAATGAAAGTGTCTGTCAGCCACGCATCGCTGTGGAAGGACGCTTTCATGCCCTCTTTGCCTTCTTGTTTCTGTTGCTGTGCTAAAACAACAACAGCTCAAAGGAAAAAAATACAACTCCTGGGGCACGGGACTGTTTGATTTGGGCATGGGGGTGATGTTCATCCTCCACCATGGTCGCATTCGGCATCGTGCGTCGCGCGCGTGTTCTGCCAGGTACAGCGACAAACTTTTTCTGGGGTGGCCGGTGGAATAGACATGACGACGCATCATCTGCAATTTTTGGAGCTCAGGGATTGGACTTGGACACTCATCATGACTCTCTTGGCAGAATTATGAACCAAACACTCCATGGGACTGGAGCATGCATCTATAGTAATGTTGGATGCTGATTAGTAATAGGGTCCTCTATAATGCTAAATGTGTGAAAAAAATATGGTTTGTTTTAAGGGTCTTCTATTATGCTAACAAAAACTGGATCCTATTTTTTTATTATCTGAAAACTATCTAGGGTTAGTTATATTTCCTATAGAAAAATAATCATTGTTTTTCTTAATACTACTCAGCCAATGGTTGGCTTGCTGAGAGTATTGATAAGTATAGGTTTCTATAGTTCTTCTTCAAAACTGACAGTTTCCCAAAACCATCAATTCCCTAATCAATCCTTTATGTAAAGATTGCCCCAAAACAAATGTTCAAGGTAGTAGACCAGGAAGGCCCGTGATCATCAATAATGAATTTGTTTAAGGATTCCTCCTAGGAACCCAGATTTGTTTTGGTGGTAGTTTACTATAGAGGACCCTCTATTTGTTTGAAGGGGGGGACCCCCCTTTACTGACACAGATCCAACATTATATGACATGATACGCCATCCAAGGGTCACACAGGGGCACCCCCGTGACAGGGGCACCCCTAAAGGGATAGCACCCCTTTGGGACTGCTGGAAAAATACTATTGCGAACTTTTCTCTTCAGAATCTTCCTCACCTCCTACTCTTGTTTTTCTTTGGAGCTGCCCTCTTGTCACCCTCTATGGTTTGTGTATGGCCTGATCATACGGTTTTTTCCAGAGTTACTAAAACATAGAGAGAGTATGTACTTTCAAACAAATACCTGAAATATATAACCGCATGTCCAGAACTATGAAACGTGTCAAAACATGAAACCTAAATAACAACATAAAAAAACAACATTTGTTTTTTTGTTTAAAAAAAACAACAACAACAATACATAAACAACAACAACAACAACAACAACAACAACAACAACAACAACAACAACA